GCCTCAATTTGCACTATTTCTGGCAGTCTGTAAAGGCCCTAAATTTCCTTGACTTGTAAAATTTTCCAGTGACCACATGACCAAAGGGGGAGGAGCCAGCCTGCAGATAGCCCTCCCCTAACATCTGAACTGAGATCAGAAACAGAAAATGCAGGCCCAAGACATCTTCAATTTTTTCCTCCTGCTTGCCTGATGAAGAATCCAGTATGATTTCAAAAACTTGCAACATGTCATTGGGCATTTTGGTTGGCCCAATAAAGGTATCATTGTTTGGATGTTATTGTATCTGTGAAAATAAAGAGGAGAAATTACTTACATAAAATTAATGTGAAGATCTTTAATTGATTAATATAATGCATTAAGAAGTTGAATCAATATAATAAAGTATTCAATAATCAAAGGAATTTTAGTAATAGGTTGATTATGATATGATGTTAAGAATCTGCTTTAGTAGTGATTACTTTGGATAGCGAGGATGATGGAAATTAGGTTCTATTATGTACTATTAGACAATTGAGCAAAATAAAAATAGAGAGAAAAAGGCTATGACAAAATCCAGGAAGTCTTTTTTCCCTTTTGTTTGTCAATGTTAGTATAGATAGATATAGATAGATACATATATATGTATATATGCATTGGGGGGTTAGTATAGAGTATATAGAAATTATATAAGTATATATTAGATGGGTTGATGAATTTGTATGTTCGGTAATATGAGCTATTATGTTGGTATGTTATGTTGTTTTTTAATATATTAATAAAGAAACTATTAAAAAATAGTCTTCATTTGCTCTCTGTCTCAGCTGGTGAGACTAATATAAGGACTAAGGACAATGCCCTCAGAAGTTTGCAGAACATATTTGAAAATGGCACAACTAAAGGAATATTCAACAATAAAAATGCCACATATGAAAGGAAGAGAGCACAGTGTCAAAGGAAGACCACTTAATTTGCTGTGCCATTGCTTGGAAAAGCATTCAACATCTGGTGCAGGTAACATTACTGAAAGCTAGCTACAAGGATAGACCTTGGGTGTGCTACATATAAGATGTCAAAGAAAAGCTGATTAATTCTGATCTTATCTTCAACTGCATCTCATTCACTTTTTAGCCTTGGCTTAGAAGCACCTTATCATATCGTACTTGTCAGTAATGCATGCCATAGCAAGGCTCCCTGTCAAAAAATAGCCACAGGTCTCATTTCCCCCAAAAACAAGGCCCTTTACATCATGCAGGTTTAGAAAGACTTACTCTTGTACTTTCTGTGTCATGTCTTGTTTAAACTGTTTGGATGTCACTGAAACCCCTTATTTAAACAATCTCAGCAACCAGAACCATTTAGGTTGCAGTAGTATGCTCAGAGAACTAGTGATTGTGCTACCGAATGAGCTTCAATGTGCACAAGGATCTCTTGCCCACAAAATCCTTTCCATTAGTGTCAGTGGAGGAAGAAATCTGAATTTTCATCAAAATTGTGTTTATCAATGTATTCCCACCTTGGATACTGGACTAGGTCTCCAGGAGACCAGTGTTCAGATCTCTGCTGGAAACCTACTGGGTGATCTTGGGCAAGTCACACTCTCTTACCCTCAAAGGAAGATAATGGCAAACTCTTTCTGAAAAATTTTTGCCAAGAAAACCTTATAATAGCCTATAGAGTGGCATAGTGGTTTCAGCATTGGACTACAACTCTGGAAACCAGGGTTCAAATCCCTGCTTCGTCATGGAAACCCACTGAATGATTCTCTCACTGAATGATTCTCTCACATTCTCTCACTCTCAGAAATAGGCAAAGGTAATCCCCTTCTGAACAAATGTTACCAAGAAAACCCCATGATAGGCTCATCTTAGAGTTGCCATAAATTGGAAACAACTTTAAGGCACACAACAACAACTTAGGATTGTTATAAGTGGGAAATGAGTTGGAAGAACACAACAACATATCAAAATACCATGTCACTGAGGCAGTGAATCCTCTCTGGCATTTAATCTAAATTTTAAAGGGCCTGGTCAAGTTGCTAAACCCTATCTTTGAAACAGGTTTATTACCTTGGATATTTGTTTTAAAGTTTGTGTGAAAACTTCTGGTGGGCGCGGAAGGCGAAAGCAGGCAAAGGAGCTCCAGAGAAATGCGGCTCTGTGTTGTAATATTTTTACAACAAATTACATTCTATAAAATCATGAGTGTCTTAAAACTCTCTTGACATAGAGAGTTCAGAAGATCCCCACAGAAGATTTTGTGCTTGGAGTGACTAAAAGAAGGTAAATCACTAAGTGAAAGCCAAGAAGTCTACAAGGGGAAAACCCCAACAGCACAGAAGCAGAGAAATGGAGAAGGAGCAATGTGGAGACCCAAGAGGTTGAAGAAAGGCAGAGAGAGATGGAGAGAAGGAGAAGGGGTGGAAGCAGAGCCTAGCAAAGGTAGAGAAAGCAGAGAAAAAGTGGAGAGATGGAGAGAGAGTAAAAGCGAAGACAGGAAAAAATCAGTCAAAGCAAAGAAATGTAGTAGCAGTATAAGTGAAGAGCCAGAGAGGCAAGGAAAACAGAGAGAAGGAGAAGGAGTGAAAGTGAAGATCCAAGGAACCAGTAAAAGTGAAAAAATGGAGAAACAGGAAAAGCGAAGACCCAGAGAAGTAGAGAAATAAGGGAGAAGGAGAAGAGGACACTAAAGAGAAAGGAAATGAAATTATAAAACTCAATTATGTTTGAATTGAATTAAAAATAATAAGAAGTAAGTTAAATTTTGGAATTGATAAGTTCAAGGAAAATATTCTGGATGTGAAATAAAGACTGGAAGTAAGTAAATAGAATAACAATTAAGTTGGGAGTCAACTAAAACCTGAATTAAAGGAACAAGGTTAATTTAAAGGAAAGGAATTTAATTTGGTTGAGAATAAAGAATTAAATAAATTTCAAGAAAGATCAGTGGAAATAGATTAAGGAATTGAATAGAATTAAATTAATTAAATGAAGTAATTGAAAAGACTGAAACTGATTTAAAGAATTGGAACTAATTAAAAAATTAATTAAAAGAATTGGAATTAATTTAAACCAATTTAAAATTGGTGTTATTGAGAAATTCAAAAGATTGATACTGAAAACTCTCAAGGAAATTGAAAGGAATTGGATTAAAGTCAAATTAAGGGGAGAAAAAAAGTGAAAGAAACTTAAAAGAGTAAAACTTTTCCTTCCTTTCCTTTCCTTAAATAAACAAATAGAAGGTGGTAAGAAAAGCAAATATGTTGACTACAAGAATAATTACTGGGATTACTCAGACGCAAACATAGAAACAAACTCAGAGGAGACAATCAACTGAACATATATTCATTTTAGAAGAAATAAAAAAATGCAAACTCAAATGCAAATGGAAATAGAAAAGAATATGAGAAAGGAAATCCATACGAAGAGATACAAAACAAGATATGAGAAGCAAATTTATGGTTATGAAAAAA